ACTATTATAAGAATAAGTTCCTTCTATCAAAACAAAAGGATGCGGGTAAAACGTTGATGGCTGAAGACGATCATCGGCTAAATCTGACTGATGAAGAGGAAGAATCAGATGTTGCTGCACAAATTTGTTTGATGGCTAGAACTGAAAGTGAAATTTTTGAGAATGATGAAGGAGCAGATTCAAGTGATGAGGTACTTGAATCTTCATGTTTTGCACAGATGCAAAGAATGATGTTCAAATTACAAGATTTTCAGCAAAGACTTGAAATTGAAAAGGATCAAGTTGCAATTTTAGAAAAAGATCTTAAAACGTAACAAGATAAATATGTTAAGCTGAACGTTGAAAATGCTGAAAATTTTGCATGGGCTCAATCTTTGGTATCTGAGAGCAAAAAGTTTTATGAGAAAAAGAATATTTTGACCGAAGAAATATATGAAATATCCGCTAAACTTAAATCATTGGAAATAATTAATGATGAACCGGTTGTGAAGAATAGCACTCTTATGTTACAAAATAAAGTTCTAAATGAAAAGCTCAAAGACCTAGAAGAGAAGTTGTATAAAAGAGGACAAACAGATCAAACAATTGCTTCTTCTACCCAAGCCATAGCCAATATGCATAGCTCGATTGATACTTTATCTGAAAGGGTGTCAATTCTGGAGAACACTTGGAAAGCTCAAGCCACCTCTCTAAAACGAAGACATGACGATCCTGATCACCATGAGGGGGAGAACAAAAGACAGAGAGTGACTGAGACTTCGAAGGGCAATGAAGTATTGATGTCTGAAGAAGAGAACTCTGAGGAGCGTAACGATCAAAGTCTGGTTCAAGCTGGTAAGTAGTGAACGGGCTACAGGCCTGGAGATAATTGTGGCTACAGACCTAGAGATCGAGCCAATGGTTGAAAAGTCGGCGGTCTCTACAGTAGAAACAAGGATGTTGCTGGGTCTGTTAGCAAACGTGGGCTTTAATGATGTGTTTTCAAGGGAGATTGGAGAATTTCAGGATTATGGTGCTGAAATAGAAGATAATGATGATTCGGATGACTTGTTCTTTGACTTTGAAGCAGATATGGATGAACATGATCCTATCTTTCCACTTCAATCCGATCCTAAAGAAATACCTGAACCAGCTCCTACCAAATCACCAAATGTTCCGGATACGTCTTCCATTCCTCAAGCTACAACTGTTAGATCAACAAGGAGGTACATACCGTTTGCTGTAAGAGTTAATACACCAGGGCTAGACAGAGGAAGAATCAGTGAGCCGTACCTTGAAGACATATATCATAATATTTTTGTTCGTCATCGGAAAGCCTTGAGTACAGATAAAATTTTGGGTATTCACATGGAAACGCGTGAATAACGCAAAGAATACAAATACTACCTCAAAGCTAAATGACAACCCATCAGCTATGTAAGAACCAAGCACCAAATCGTCTCGATCAAGACGGTCAAGTTTGGAGTTTTAGTGAAGCTGACTTTCCGAATCTATTCTTAGAAGACTTGGAAAACATGTATCATGAAATTCGCAACCAGACTGTGAGATTGGAAGGAGTTGTCAGAGGAATTGAAGCTATCAAACGGTACCTTAAGTGTCATCTCAAGCTCTCTTCAGTAATTGATGTCCAAATGGGGTACGAAAGTAACCAAAAGAATGTCAACCTGAAGAGGCCAGATCAAGAGCTAGAAGACATTGATGGTTATCCTCTGTACATGATTCTTGAAGATCCGGAGTTCGGGGTGATAGATGAAAATTCTGAGAAAGCTAAGAGGTTCTTAAGGTTCAGCAAGCTAAACAAGTACTGCGAAAGAACAATCAAGATGGTGAGGAAAGAGCTAGAAGGCAAAAAGGCTATTGATGACAAAGTTTCAGGTCCTAACAGATTAAGTCTGAGGGAAAGGTTCTTACCGACTAGTGCCCTGGAGCTGCTTGATGATATAATACAGCACCGGAATGCAATTAGAAGGTGTGAGACTAACTTGGGCTTCAGAAGATCAAAATTCATAATATCTCGTGCTTGAATCCAAAGGGGGAGAATGTTGGGTTTAAGTTTGTGCTTTAATGTTGTATTCAATCAAGTTTCTCCTTGTAATTTTTTCTTTGTAACTAGTTGGTATAAATAGTTTCATTTCTTGTAATTAGAGTAAGAATTTCATTTGTAATCACTTTGAAGATTAATATAAAAAGCTTTGGCAAAATTCTCTCTTGGTGTTCTTAAATTCCTATCAATCTGTTTCTTGAATAAGAATTTAGTGGGATTTTCACTTTAGTATCTAAATACCATGTTGAATGTATAAAGGTTAATTACACATAATAGCAACATACTTTAAGACAATTCACATTTTAGGCAATGTACTTCTTTTATGCAAAAGAGAAACATACTTTTAACATTCATCCATTTAGGCGATGTACTTTCATCATTTTATACAAAATAGCAACATACTTCATTTTCGTCCATTTTGATGATCATTTTCTGTATTTTAATGTTGTATCATTTCATAATTTGATTGTCAAACCAGTTGTAATAGTTCTGCCTTAGCAAAAAAGTATAAAACCTGGTCCTAAAATGGACAAAAGTTAAAGTAAGTTGTTCTTTTACGTAAAATAAGTACATTGCCAAAAATGGGAATTGGTCTAAAGTACATTGCTACCATGTGCATATAACCCGATATTTAATCCCCTTGATTATTAGATACGTTTTCCAGCTAAGTAAAGATCTTACAAATCTGAAAATACATTCTTGCACTATAGTCATACTTTATGGGAGTGGTGGTGACATCGATGAATGCAGAAGAGGATTGGTGATGACAGTGGTGGATCTAAAGCATTGGTGATGGGGGCACTTGCCCCCAACAAAATCTCTATGTGCAGGTTAAAAAATTTTGGTACCTCTTGAAACATTTGAATATTTATTGTTTAGGCCCCCAACTAATAAAAAATAATCCCCCTAAAGACTCCACTCACTCTCTCCCCACTCACTCATCTCCAAGACTTCACTTACACTCTCACAGACTCACTCTCTTACACTTTCATCTTCACTCACAGTTCTCCATTGGTAAAAAACACTAAACCTCTTGAAATATTGAATATGTATTGTTTATATTGATTTAATGATTAATACATGTTGTTGATAAATGATAAATTAGCAATGTTGGTCTAATTGATCCTCTTATTTTGATTTCTTTGGAAATTTATTTTGTATTTTTTTGGTAAATATCCACTGATTTTGGTATTGATTTGATAAACTATTATCATTATTTTTTTACTTTCAATCTTTCATTTTGCATTTAATTATTTTATAGATTGACATTTATTACTATTTGTTAACTATTAGTTTTCAACTCCTTGATTGTTATATGATTTAGGGTTATTAAGTTTGTTATTTAATTTGGATTTGTTATTTGTATTCAAAGTATGCAATTGGTTTGTCTTTTATTTCTAATTTTTAGGTCTTTTATTATCTGATTTCTTTCTAACTGAATCTAGTTTCTTGGCCTTTCGCCCTCTAACCTATATGTTCATCAACTATTAAGGATTTTGATTTATCTTTTACTATGTTTCTTACAAATTGGTTTAATGTCACATATCAACATTTGTTTTCTTACAAGTTGGTTTAGTGGTTTGTTCATCTAGTTATCCGGTCCATTATGAATCAACTGAATCTTGTATTAATGTGTATTGCGTTTACTTACTTTCAATTTTACTAGAAGTAGTAAAATATATGAATAGTAGTATAACTGAAACCAAACAAAATAAGTAATCTTTGTTCGATTAACCAAATTGTTTAAGCCGAAAAACGAATAACCTGAAACCGTCTTGGTTAGGATGAGTTATTTGGTTTTGGAATTTTTTTACACCCTTGAGTGTGCCTCCAATCATAAAAAATTCTAGATCTGCCATTGGGTGATGACATAAAATACCTTTGGTAGTTCCATCATCTAAGAGTCTTTATCTTGCATTTCATGCAGACCTTCAAACTGAGAATGTTGCAAATGCTGTGGGACAAAGGAAATACGGAGTACATTTCATTCAGTCAAGTTGCTCGACAGGCATCAAAAGGTCTCTCATAAAGTCAAACCAACTCGAGTGACTGTTTCCTCTTGTGTCATCTAGATTTTGGTGATATCACCTTTTCTTGGTGTTCTAAAAAAATCCCTGCTTAGAGCCATTTAAGCAGCAACCTAGGCATCCTGTTCTATACCTTGAGCGGTACTACACAATGGCAGGGATCAGGGAAGAAGTTCCACAATGATTGCGAGATAGACTTGCCCATCGATCACCCTATGGGAGAATCAATAAGAGTAGCTGATAGGTAGACGGCACAGATGAGGTACAGCCCCACCCCCTCCTTTGATTAGTTAGGGCTGGTTAATCGCTGCTAAGAAGTTAAGCATCCACCACTGCTTAATTAATAACTAAGGGGCTGTTTGATTGATTTTTCATCGAGTACTGTATAGAAAAGCTGTATGTGTGGATTAATCTGCCTATATAGATCGGGAAGGTTTTTGTTTGAGAGAGTTTTTTCATAAACGGAAGAAGCGAGTTTTTAAATTGGGAGGGGCAGGTTTAGATCAAACTTGGCTTTCTGCATAAAGCTCCCCCTAGAAACTTATTGAATAAGCCACTTTCCATATCATTAAACCACTACCAAACAGCCACGTATAGCTGACCAAATAAGTTGTGAGTCCATTAAGCTCATTAAGCTGCTAACAAACAGGCCCTAACTGTTCATTACAGATGCAACTACTTATCTAGAAAAGTGTTACTATCAAAGTAATATAGCATCAAAATCTTAATTTGAAGAGGTTGACGTAATCTAAGAATAATTATATTCTACGTATTCAAATGACAAACTTAATTGTCTGCTTATTCCTGTTTTAGTGATTGAGCAAACAGATAAATTTGAATTCATAGTTGATAACTTCAGCTAGGGTTTGGGTACGAAAGGAGAAAGGCTGGAGATGAGAAGCATTAATATTTTAAGGAGAAAAGGTTACCAAGGGGTTCTTCATATAATTGTCGCACAGCCAATTTGCTAGAAGTAAGAGAAGTTCACGGCCTACAGGTTCATCTCCATGCACATTCCCAATAAACTGCAACATCAAGGATATCAAGCAATCAATCCCAAAAACAATTAAACAATTTTGAAGAGTAATATAGATGTTGGAACAAAATTGATTCATGTAATAATAAAATACTGCTTTAATGGAAAAAGGGAGTACAATACGGAACAAGCAGATAGACTACAGCATGAAGGATATCAAGCAATCAATCCCAAAACAGTATTTCTTTTCTGGAACTTGCAGTAAATGATGGAAAAAAAGATTGATTTACATAATCATAAAATATTGCTTTAGCAGAAACATGGAAGTAGAACATGGAAAAAATGCAAATAGATTCCAGATCTCATCATAATTTGATTAACATAATACATATTAGATGTCCTCTATATCAAGCATGCCATCTGATAAGAACCGAACTCAAGTCATCCTCAATCCAAGAGAAGGAAGTTGAAAAACAAACACCCTAGAAAACTGCAAATGTAGAAGGGTGTGAGAGAAGAGCACATTTATTGCCATCATTGCAAATTATAAACTCAGCTTTGATCCTATATAACCTTTTTCCTCTTCATGAAATGACAAAGGCAATGCAACCGGCTCACAAGGGCTGCACATGGGTTCGGTTGGCCGGATTGAAGGCATTTGAACAACCCAACCCAATGTTTGCAGTTTGAAAAATCTCAACCCAACCAAAGAAAGACTTTTGGGTTGGGTTGGTCGGGTTGGGTTTAAAACGTTGGTACATTTTACAATCTAGCTAAGCATTTGTGTTTAAATGAAGTAAAATCAAAAAATGATAACATACAAACAAAGGCTAACAAATGCAAGAAAGAAAGTTGAAGGTTCATGCAAATAAGAAAGTTAAATTCCGGTTGAAATTGTAATATAATTTTGAATATAGTTAATTACGGGTTATTCTAAATTTCTAATGTCTAATGTACATATATTAATCAAGGATTTAACAATCATATTAAATTCATTGTATAGAAAGGCATCGGGTTCATTGTGTTGGGTAACTTGGGTTGGGTTCAAATGACCCTAACCCAATTCCCACCCAATAGATGTGGTTTGGCCTAATTTTGTATCAACTACGTGTCAGGTTACCTCGAGTTGAGTATTTTTTCGTTGTTTTGGGTTGGGTTGGCCGGGTTGGTTGGCTTTTTGATCACCCTACTCCTTTACAGACTCTATTACGGATTCTACATACTTCTTTAATTTAATAAGGACAATCCTTCAAACTTAATCACCCATCTATTTCAGCTTTATCAGAAGGTAATTCTACTCCTGTTAAAATAAGAGCTCATTCATCATGGGTTATCACATTTTCAGCTGTTTAGCCTATGAACAGACCAGTTTTAGTCACATTATCGATCTACTTGCACAAAAAAGGTGCATGCTAAAAAACATTTTCACACCAATGCAGGATATTATCACCTTGAAAGCAGGCTTGGCCTCTTCCTTCCCAGGATTATTAGAAATTTCCATCACCCACTGCGTTAGATATTATGGAAGAAAGTATGAGGATATATAGTTTCAGTAATTACTGAAAAAGATAAGAAAAAGAACCATAGAAGCATTAATCAATATATTACCAGTGGAACTCCCAACACACTTTTCCCAATACTGGTGTATGATTAAATGCCCTCAAAGAGAGAATCAAGAACAAGTCAGCTGATTACACAAACATCATTTAAACAACATTAACCATTTCTTTCTATATAAATAACAGCCATGAGAACTATATCTGCTAGTTGATGGCAGTATAAAAAAGTTTTACACTCTTTATAGGATCAGAAAACAAATAAACAATGTATCAATAGAGTAAGTCACCTGTATATCCTGGATAAGTGACCACATCTACCATGGAATGCCTTGATAGCCTTCTCAAGATCAGAATTAGTCATATACCCATGAGCTAAAGTATTACTGCATCACAAAGTTCAGAAATAGCCAAATGTCGATCAAACTACTAGAAAAGGAGTACTTATACGGTTCAAATATAATTCTGAATTTGTGATAGTTTATATACAGTTTCTGAAAGTGGTTTTCCCCGAACAAATGCCTTCCTGAAGCAGCATATGTTTTGTCCACAAAACCTGTTCATCATAAATCAATAAGATATGGTGAAAGGATAATAAACAAAAAAAACTTTTCTCTTTTTTTGGGTAATGATTCTTTCTAAAGCCTGATTTTTCTTCATAAATTGAGAAACCATGATCTGGAAGGACAGATCTCCAAATAATTAATGTTCAAGTAGTTTTTCTATGTAAAATGATTGTACTTATAGCAGCATGCTTACATACCACACAATTGTAGTTCCAAAAAACTTGACCTGTATATCTGGATCACGATTTCTGACCATGAGTAAAACCTTGATCAAGATTCATTTTTCTAACAGAAATCATCTTGCTTGTTCTAGCTCAAAAGACTACGACTTTGTAATATAAGAGACCCCAAAAGGTAAAAATATAACTCCATGATATTTAAATATCTGAAAAATGGTTATTGGTACTTGGCAGCAAAACCATTTGAACACAGGTGTTGAATCAGTACAGATGTGCTGAGCTGCTGCCTCATTAAGCAACAGAAGCAATACTTGCCCATCTCATCAATTTTTACTTTTTATTTTTTTGATTGATTAAATATTCACAACAGGATCAATATGAAGGTCAAGATGTTCATCAGAAACACCACCACCTCAATCTGACACATGAGATTAGGCCTATTATTTCCTCAATAGAATAGAATATGAATTAAACCTTCTCTTTAATTGATGACAATGTTGAAGAAGGATGAAAGTTAACATTAGATGGTCAAAACCTTAATCAAAGAGAAAATTACGTTGAAAAGCAAAGGTCATGTATATTTGGAGGTTGGAAAATACTAATAACACAAAGAGGTTTGCAGATGGTCTATGAAACTTGCTAATATGTGCAGTGGAAAGCAATCACAAGATCAGGTAGACAATAGCCAGACCAGATTGGAGATCTTAGATCCTACGTTTTTTCTTCTTTTTTCCCTTCACGTAAGGCCATCTTGTATGTTTTCAACCCCCAACACCCAAACTCAACCCGAAACCTCTCAAACCTAAGGTGTGAGCTCATACCATGAGAGCTCAATGCAAAAAGTCCCTGATGTATGGTGTTGAGATTCTAATACTCCCTAAAAGTATGTCCCTTGATGCATGGTACAATCTTCCAAGACATGAACTGCTGGAAATAGTCAACCCTCACCACCAATTTACATACAAACCCAGAATACCAATCTGATTATGCTATGAATAAACCATGATTTCCAGCATTTGATACATTTCCATCTTTTACAGCCTCTCCTTTAGGGATTTGATAGTATCTTTTCGGTACGATTTACATCATTATGATACCCTTTAAATTACAAAACACAAGTCCATCTTTAAGAACTAATATCTCATACGATAATTAGGGTCAACATTTGATTCTTTTAACTTCAACACTCATAGAATCTGTATGGGTTATACACAATAATTGACAACAAACACCAAACCGTGAAGATGTATTCAAGTAGGAAAACTAAGCTGTGAAACTAATTCAATCAGAAGAAAATTTCAATATAAAAAATAAAATATATTCTCAAAACTAAAAGTTGGAGTAAACAAAAAAAAAACAGTATTTTCATTTCGTTCTTATTCTTTCTTACAATTAATAATATTCGCAGCAGGAACCAAACAAGAACAACAACAACAACAAACATAAGACTTGAATTCATTCAGCAGCCAAACAATCATATGATCGAAAAAGAAGTGATGAATCCAATTGAAAAGGGGGTTGACCTGAATCACGTTCACCGCCTCTGGCGATGGCTGTGTGAAATATATGGAACAAGTTTAGAGAGAGAAAAAGTAAGAACGATGAATTCAGGTTCGCCATGATCTCGTTCGCGAAATCGACCTCGCAGGGGAGAAGAAGTTTAATAATATGTTCGCTAAAAAGAACTGAACACGGAGAGTGATACTCACGTGATATGCACGTGAGTGTTTGCATCTAAAGCAGAGATTTTAATTAGTATCTCTGGATATGTTAAAATCTATATTATCTTATAAAGCATTTGGTTAAAACTCTTAAAAATTCTTAAAGTTCTTAAAAACTTTTAAACTCGTTCATCCCTAAATGATTTCATCCCATATCTGAATTCGTGTAACTAACTGCAGATAAACACAATCAAATACAGGATAAACATCTTATTTTAAATATAAAAAATCTAAAATATAATTAGTATAATCATTAAATTCAAAGATAATACTTAATTATTATCTTTATAAAATTTATA